TATATATATATATGCATAGGTATCCCCCTCTCCCACATTTTCGAACGTACAAGGGCAACTTTTCGGTTCAAGGAAAGGTGCCTTCATTATTCATCTGACCAAAGACGGACGTTTTATATCCACTTTCGGTGGCCTGTTAACCCGGAACTACGTTCGATCCAAACGCATTAAGAAGTATTTTAGTAGCCTACGTGATAACATTTTCGGCCGAAAAGAATGAGTCACCGATTAAGAAGAAACCACTCCTTTCAGTTTCTGCATCAGGACGTACGATCATTCAGTATGAGCTTGACGAGTGGAATTGGGGGGGGGGGATTTTATGAGGTGTCCAAATCCAAGCCAGACCGCACCCGCTACCGTATTACTACCGCTAGACATTACAGGCATAACGTTAAATGAGGTACATAATTATATACACATACACCTGCGTCAAAATTCAATCCAGGCTGTCATGCAAGCATAAATTTAATACCATGATATTATTCAGGATATAACGCAATTTCCAAATCTTAGATCAATTTCTGTCAAATTATTATTTTATCTGGGAATGTCATAATATATACCGCCCCGCTATTGAATAAATATGCGCTTTCCTGAAACATTATTTGTTTAAAAAACAACAACAATAACAAAACAGATCAAGTTATACGATATTATAGGTGTAAGCTTTTATCTCTAGTTCCTCTGTCAACTTTTTTCGATAACCCTCAAATTATTTGTATCGCAAAAAAATCTGAATATCGATTCATTTCTGGCGAGGATTCTTATATGTAATATTTTGCTGTTTTCCGTGAAAATGATGTTTGCACAGCTAAAAATGTAAGCCACACTTAGATTCTAGTATGCTCTGACAACTTAAGAAAATATTTTGGTGATTTATGATTATTTCTAGATTTTTTGATCAATTATGTATTAACATTTTGATTTCATTTCCTGAAAAGTGACCACCCCTTCTCCCCCCCCCCAAAAAAAAACAACAACAACCCCACCCCTCTACAGATTAGATTAGTATGTCCACTAAGGATAAAGGTGCGGCTCGAGGAGTGTCAGAAAATTTCTACCCGTCACAGTCATAAATAGCCATTATAATAAGTCTTACAATAAATTAATTAATTTGTCCCGCCCGTCTGCCAACTCGTGCACTCATCAGTAATGCCAGTCGA